GGCTTAAATAAAAACATATAAGAAGATTAGTATGTACTGCTAGAGAGTAATGAATAACATGAATATTTTTTTTATTCGTTTGTTTTGTAGATATTGTTTCTTATTCATAATCTCACTAATCATTATGTTTAATCTTTTCAAAAATGACTATAGAGTAAGGTTAGCAAAGAATTTCAATACTTATCTAACTAAGAAGAATGATGTTATAATGTTAAATATTTTTAATAAATTAATAACGGTCACATCAACAGTATATAACATAAAATTATTAGGATAATTTTGCTTCAATTTTCATCATGAATACAGAAATCAAAATCAAAATTTTAAGAAAGACAAAATATTCAGTAAATTTAATTGTAGTTTACATAGTGTTATAAGTGTCAAGGATGAATTATATAATAGATAATTTCAAGAAATTTTGTGTGAGATGAAATTACACTTTAAGAAGATGATAAATCATGAATTTAAATGGTTATACAAGAATATGGAGATGATTTTTTTTACTGCTACAATCAATTAAGATGATATGAATATTATATTCGGAATGATCAAAGATAGCTGAACACATCAGTGTTTATTTTTTATTCATAGATTGCATTTTGGTTAGACATAGATTTTGAACTTGAAGAAATCAATCAAGTGAGACTACCGTACAAGTAAACTTTGTTCAATCATTTCAGCATAAAGTTGAGGTTAATTCAGCCAAAAGGTGGGTTTGATTGATTATGTATGACTCAAATTTGAGGTTGCAAAGATGTTGATCATCAATACTACATAAAACAAAGTTTTGGTGACAATGGTTATTCAATTTTTCAGATGAATTGCAAGTGATGTGAGATGAGCTACGTATGAGAGTTTTAATATGTTTAGTTGAGATAACCAAAATAATCTATCATACTAGGTTACTGATATCATTCCTTTGATCTAGTGTGTAGTATTTTTTAATCAATATGCTATACTATACATGGTTACTATCTGTAGGTGATGAACATTCAAATGTTTACGTTTTGTGTGTAAAATTCGATGTTGAAATTTTGAATATTTAGTTGCGATAGGATATAATTCTCATATTGGGGGGAGTTATGATTGCATGAACATGGCGCAGAAGAATCTTATTCTAAGCGTGACCAGTCTTACCGCCCTACTGAAATCCAGTCTCGGAGATCGGTTTAGGCAAATTACGGCATGATGCTCGAAGGAGGAAACCGAGGAAAATGTACAAGATTGAACCGGATTTCATGTTGGATAATGGCTCTTGCAGGTGCTCGCTTGGACTCCTGGGCAATCAATGCAAAGCGAATAATGTATGAGGCAGGCAGTCACGCCATTTACGGGGTCATACTGTAAAGATGACAACGGGGGCGAGGCAGGCGAATCCTTCAGAGAAAAGCATAGAAATTATTGCTGCTGCTGCTGCTGCTACTACTACTACTACTACTTCGAGAGCTTTGACTACAATAGGGTGATGATCATACAAAGGAGTGGTCGATGTCCAGGCACAAGAGACTTGTGGCCGTCGTCGACGAAGACGCTAGCAGGCCCGGAAGGAGATCAGCACCATGGCAATTCCGTGCCCAATTTCTCTGACCCCAGCAGCTCCAACTCGAGTCGAGACTCGAGGTATCGTGTTTGGCACGACTTGTGGAGACGCATCGAGGCCTTTCCAAACAAGATTAAAGCTGCTTTGTCTGTCTGCTCCGACTCCGCCCGTGTACATTGCCCTGTCTCGTCTTCTACGTACTCTTACGGTTAGGGCGGTCGAGACATAAAGAGATGAGTCCAACTCCCGCCCTGACTGCACCGGCAACCTTTTGGCGATGCAGGTTGCAGAGTGCTGACTGACAAGGCCAGAAGCTTTTGACCTTTCGAGGGTATTTTCTTGCATCACCTTTCCATCAAGCTTCCACCGAGGTCCAGAATATCATCACACCGACTTGACGTGTGCATTCGAGATCGGAGCATCGGATAGAATGTACTAACGGCAGCAATTAACTTCGGCACTGGAATCCGGATCGAGGAGATCCTGAAAGTAACGCTCGGTGCGAGCTTGAATCTCCTGGAGGTCCGTTTGTCATATCTCTTCTTCTTTTGACGAGTTTCGGCCATGGATTGTCACGACCAAGAACCCCTCGAACAGGTGGTTTGTTCAGCGTGGGTACATTAATTGGAAACCGTAACGAAGGGGACCTGTGATGACAAGATCTCATGCAAGGTCTGATAAGTTATCGCCCTCGATTGACATGATGGTCCCATCATTGATGTGCGTTCTAGGGCACGTACTGGGCGATAAATATATCGATCCACAGATGCCATTCCTGGCTCCCAGCAGCGCAGTCCTGCTTTGCGATCGATGAAGACACAATCTTCCGAGAAACAACGTGACCTTCATCCTTCTCGTTTCAACGATTCCGGATCTTGAACTCCATGTCCTGGACCTACTGGTACCTTGGTCGTATATGCTTCCTTAGCCAGATGATATCGTCAGCAGCGGGCATCGTAGGCATTCCTGCTCTTGAGTAAACCTCCACCACCTGCACCCTCCGATTATCGCAGGACTCGGTGCGACAAAGCTCTTCGGTGATGGAATTTTCCTGTGGGAAATTGGTCCAAGGAAAATGGTCACTGCGCCATTCGTGAGACAGCTCCACTGGCACAGATACCTTCCGACTTTCATTCCCTGTGTTGTTGCAAAAGTCCTTTTGCGACAAGGATGCAAGGGACAGCCCCGAAGACGATGACCTGTACGAACTTGGATTCAGAGACGTTCCTATGACGCCAAGTCGGCACCTACAGAAGCATTTTCTGGACTCTCCAGAAGCAGCTGGAGGCAAGCTCCGAGAAGTCTAGGGGCGGAATCCCACGTGATTATGTCACTGTTCTGCTGAAGGTTCTTTGTTCTTTTCTGGGTATAAAGGCAAGGCTCTGTGCTTTGGACGAGTCAATTTGGAATAAATTTCGTCCGAGTATTTGTTATAGCCACATTCAATCCCCTAACATCAATTTACTTCAGATTGTAGAAACCACTCAAAATACCAAGATCCACATATAACCTCATTCTTTTTCGGGAATGCAGATTTTGTTCATAATTTAGTGAGGTATGACTCATCCGAGATAATATACATTTTCAACAAAATAATTTCTGCAATTGTAAATTGATATACTACATACATGATACGTGTCATATCAGCACAAAGCACACAAGGCTATAAATAATGTTAAATGAATATGGACAAAATTCTCTTAATATTTTAATCCTAAGAATCTTATCAAGACATCGTTGCAAAATCAGGTTGTTTGATCACATAACACTCCCATAGAATTAGATACAAGAGTGGGATGTATGCAAATATATTCCATCTTTCAAAGTAATGAAAATTCTAATTATCACATGTGTTTTCGTCCCTCTACTTGATATCAAAAATGATATCAGTCTTGAGATTAGCAGAATATCTAATCTAAAACTTTGCAAATATGATCATATACAATTTCTCAAGAAGTTTTCGGTCTGTAAAATTTAGCGACACAGGTAGGTTTGAATAAGTCTTATAAATTGTTTACCATAGTTAATTTTTGCTATTCATTTATTTTTAATATTAAAAAATTAAAATAATACTGGCAATTCATGACTACCTCTTTTCAACTTTTATACAACAAATCTCAAAAGGCCATGATCAATATACATATGTCATTGACGTGATATTTAAGAATCGAGTTGGTTACAAAATCTACTTGCATGGATGTGGAATTATTCAGGAAGAAATGATGGAATACACATCTGTTAAAAGTAGTCATAAATTCCAGTTATATATATCAGTTTGCATTACTGTTATTCTAACATTTGAAGAATAAAAAAACCCCCAAACTACATACTCTACTGCAATTATGTTTGTGAAGCAGTGTGGTATAAACTGCATTACTTGGTGCTTTTGGTGCAATAGAGAATGATGCATAAGATTCATGCTTCGTAGGCCCATGTAACAGGTATACTAGTCTCACATGGATACTTTAATTATGTTATGTACAACAGTTTACATCCCTTTAAGATACTAAGAGGGTCTTGGCCCATCTTAATCCTGCAAGTTGTTTTGAAGGTCTACATTCTTTTCTTTTTTTCTCTCCCTCTCTCTCTCTCTCTCTCTCTTTCTCTTTCTCTCCAGTCCTTTGTTGGGAGCTTGAGGACTCGGAGTGACAAAAGTAAGGCCGGGTTAAGTTGAGAAGAAGAAGGCCAGCTCAGGCCTTTTCAAAGACCTCAGCTGGCCTTTTTCCCAATCCTTAAAGCACCATTGTTAAAAACTTACATCCCTTGGCCGGTCTGGTGTCCATCACCGGTGGTGCTGTAACGAGGAGCCTACCAGTAAATTGGTGTCCTGCAAAAGCTGCAAATCTCACAGGGGAGTCACCGTATCCAAGGGGACGGGCTCATTGAGTTTGAGGATTGGAAAGCACCTGTGTGACATCATTGTAGGCATGTGATTGATCTGCTGATCCTGTGGAAGACAACATACTTCATGCTGGCAATATCCCCAGAGATGACGTCGGGTGCCTATCAATGGTTCGAGTTTGCACCGTGTAGGGTCTTACTCCGGTTGGAAAGAGTGGTATGTGGTACGACTCAATGTCGGCCAAAAGTTCCGCTGGCTTGCCTCGTGTAGCACCATGGAAATTTGACAAAACACATAAACTACATCTATGTCCTGAACACCATAAAAGCTCCTCTCGTTGAATGATCATCACTCCGCAGCAGCCTTCTGTTGACAGCTGTCGGCACGTAGGTGCTAACATGTCTTCCCTAGCGCTCGAGGCTGCCAGGTACTGATTTACCTATTGTCCATTCAGTTGTATCAGTTTTACTGTCTTCCGACAGGACAATCTGTCAACTTTGCTCTGTATAAGACCGTAAGCATCACAATCTTCCAATGCATGCTCTCTTGTCCAACAATCTTTTCCAAATAAGAATGCTGGAAGAGAAAGCTGTATGACATAAGCACTGCCTTGTTTCTCAGAAATACTTCTTTACAACGAATTTCAATGACCTCTCCGTACCAGCAATGTTCTCGAATTCACTGCAGAAAATTCCAAAATATTATGATATTCGACGTTGATCTGGGATAGTCAAACAAGAAAAAAGGTCGCAAAGCGTTGCTGGATTCCAACTTGACCCCCTATTTACACTCCCACGTCTAGTAAATCATTCTGTTCAGAGAGGAAACGAACGTCGCCTGTAAGACCAGTCGCTTACTAGGACCAGTTTTGAGAATTACCGACTTGAAATTTTTTTGATTTTTGACCTGCAAGCATAGGGACTTCAAAAAGTTTAAAATACACCAACTCTTGAGGTACCGAAGGCCAGCACTGCACTTCCTGAATATGTCAGCTATTGTAACTGAACTAAAGTGAGCCCAAACTACAATTTGCTTACACATGATGTGTTCAATTAATTTACTTCTTCATTCCTGTAACTCTTCTCTTTATCCTCTCAAGATTATGACTAAAAGGTGATGAATCGAGGTCAGACTGAACTAAATGGCAATTGCGCACAGACTCACCGACAGGCGAGATTGAAGCTCGTCTTATTTAATATGCACTCACTCCTACTCTTCTACATCATCATCATACTCATCAGCTTCTTGTAGTATGCGCGAAGCAATGTGCTCATCAGGTCTGACTATAAGTGCCCCTGTTGAAGGCATTCCACACAGTTTCCACCAGGAATCAACATCCTCTTCAACATGAACGACACAGGCTGTCTCCAATTGTCTCCATCTGCGAACGACATCCCTTTCTTCTTCAGATAGTTTATCCGAGCTATATCTCCGTGCAAACCCTTTTGACCATATCACCGACACCTTCAGAGGTACTCCACGCTGCTTGAATGCTTTTAGTGCTGCATCTCCCCACTTGAAACCGCTTCTAGTTGGCCCAACAATAAAGAGAAATTCCAAACTAGCGTAGCTGACGAGATCTAGGGTTGACAGTCTTTCCTGAAAAAGTTTTGAATGTTAATACAAGTCAAGCGAGTCAAGAGACTAAACATTCAGCTTAAAGGTCCAGAAACTTCATACAAAACAGGAGTACATCAATCGATGACAGCCAATAATTCGCCATAAATGAATCAGATATTCGGACGTTTTAAGACTCAGTTGCCACAGCATTGACGTCTTCATCTCAGCAAGCTACTCGTTCGAAACTTACAATGCCTTCTTGAAACTGTAAGGTAAGGTTTTGCTATTCGCGTATTAACGTACCTCATTATAAAATTTGAACTCGGCATCTAAATAGCGCATATTCATATGGGGCAAGCGAGAACCAGGCTTGCTTGATGGTATGTACTCCCGTCGTCTTCCTGTTGGTTTTGCAAGCTCTTCTTCTGTGGTGTCTATTTTGTCACTAACCAGAGCTCCACATACATATCTACATGGAGTCCAGGTGAGGAATATAAGATACCGATGGCTTACAGTTAGACAGGTGAGAAGACATTGTAGGTTCGCTCGCCTAATACATTTCTCCGCATGAATTCGAACAAAACATTATCTCTCAGCCATAAAGTTAAACAATACTAGGTTACACTACCTGAATCCCAAGTCTTCAGCCGGAAACTGAAGTTGCAGGCTTGATCCTTGCTGCAAAATTCGTTGAACTCGAGAAATTCTTGAAGCTGCAATGGGATTGTATCTATTTAAAAAAACCTCGGAGACCTGCGAGCGGCCAACGGCAAAAACACCGTCTAAAATTGCACCTTGTAGTCTCACTGGCAACCATGAAGCTCCAGCGTTAACAAGCTTTTGAGCCATACTGCACACGAATACACAGCATCCGCTGAGAAGAGAAGTGCGAGAGCAAAACGATTTCTGATCAAAACAAACAATTCGACAAAGTGTAATCTTTTCATTCTAGAAAGTATCTCACATTCTTTCAGAAGTACTTGAAACTAGGCCTGAAGCAGAATACTTGCACTGGTCGTATTTAAAGGCCCATTGAACAAGCCGTTCGGTACTTGACTGTAGAGGGTAAAAGAAAAGACAGCAAACCTTGCGGCTGACGGATTAAGGCCAAGAGCTGTTGGTATAGCCATGGCTGCGTGGAAGTTGGCAACGCTTAAATCTTTGTTGGCTTTCGCTATCTGTCCACCAGACTTCATGTTAAAGGTCTTCCCAACCAAACTAAGTCTAGTTCCATATTGGATATGGATTCTCAGTTCAGAATGACATGCGTAAAATTAAGTCATTATAGAGAGCTAAGATTAGGCAAGTGATCTAACTTCAACCTAGATCCATGGTTACACACGATACTAAAAGCACTCTTCAGGCATTTGGGGGCTGACTTCCAGCTAAATTCTGTTGACCTCAACAACCAGTATTCTGAATGACTTTCTTGCACAGTTTGACACGTTGAGCGGCATCTTAATGAGTGCTGCTGCTAATTGTATACAGAGGTGAAGACAGACGAACTCGCCAAGGCCGATACCGATTTTTCTATAAATATTTTCGACGAGGAGCATACCTGACGACGTTCCGTATTGTAGGTGAGTAGAAGCTCATTTGACACCCAGCCGTAAATGACGGCCGCAAGTTTCCAGGCTAGATTATGAACATCTTGAATGCCCGTGTTCATACCTGGTAAATCAATGATCATCAGTAAGACATAGACAACGACTGCTAACACGATTTGAAACCGGCACTGAACAGCAGATTCTCAAAAGGCAAATTTGATGATGTGTTTGGTAAGTTCTAGAGTGTTCATCATTTGAAGTTCTCAGCGGGAATTGATACTGACGAGCAAATTACTCACCAAAACCCCCTGCTGGAGGAAACCGATGTGCCGAATCCCCAGCGAGGAAAACACGTGCATCGAAGCCACTGAAAGTGTCTGCTACTTGGGCATGCATCACCCACTGTTTGATAGTCCTCACGTCCACTTCCAAATTTGGCATTCCAGCAACATCACGGATCAAATCTCTGCACACCTAGAAACCGGAATTTCTCAGATAAAGAGCAAGTCACTCGGTGTAAACCTCGATACTGTTTCCACTGCAGCCATAAATTTTTATGGCAAGGGCTGTTGAGACGTTCATAAATACAATGGACAGTCGACCTCTGACTCAGCGCAAATTTGGCAAGAAGAAACACGTACAATTGCTATTATTTTAGGAATGAAACTCCATAGGTGACGTTAATGATAGATTAGCCAGCACAAGAGGTTCTTCAGTGAATTCACTAGATTTCACTGAATTTGAAAGTGAATTCTCTGTATGTAAAGGAGTAGTGCAGTACACAGAACCCTTAATAACGTACTTTGAGATTGAAGTCTTCAAACCGCTGTTGTGGTGGATAGAAAGGTATCTGAACAAAACACAATGCTGGATAAATACTCCCGGTTACTGCTGACGAACAAAACCAACTATTTTAACAACAATATACCCTCCTCATATCTGATAGAGGGATACCATCCATATTTTCTTTCAAACTCAGCCTCAGTATTAAATTGAACATGTTGAAGTAGATGATAAACTGATAGCTATTAGGTGTTACCTGGGCTATAAACTCCCCGACTTCCAGATCATGTGCAACAATAACAGCAATTACACGGGCATTGAAAACAAAGTACAGCATGCCTGGCTGATCTTTCAGAAGGTAAGTTCCAAGCTCTTTGCTAATGAAGTGTACACTGATAAGCTTTTGCATAGCTTCTTCGCCCTCCATCCTTACACCCATCAGTCTTCGAACGGAACTACTTGCTCCATCCGTTCCCACCACATATCTGCACTTTATACACTTAGGAAAGACTGAATCCTTGTCTGAAGAAGACAACCCTGCCGTGATATAACCAGATTCGTCTTTCAGGGCTACCAATTCCTGGCTGAAGTGAATCCCTCGCAACGATAGAGACGCATCTTCGCGCTCTAAAACTGTACCGTTCTCGTTCTTCAGATTCTGAGAAAGCTTTTCAGCACGACTCAACAGAAGAGGTAGAAGACGATGCTGGGAGAAATGCGCAATGTATGTGGGGCTCTTCTCCCTTGATACATCTGCTTGCAGAAAAATAGAAAATAAGAAAAGTAGATCGTTGTTCAAAGTCGCTTGACCAAAAAATTGTATTTGTGCATTGACACAAATAAACCACCTCTCCAAAGGAGTATTTGTTCGACTTGCCATTTCTTAGCTGTGGCTAACAAAACATAAAAAGGATCAGGCTGATGAACCCCATCTACCTGGGCGACATTCGCCAAAGAACTTTCTACTCACTGGAATCTTTCTTTACACGGCTGGAGGCGACTACGCAGGCAACAAGACTCGTGATATGCTCGTCTTTTGAGCAATCAAATACGCAAGCATACCCTGGGGCTGAAGATGATCCACAGTCCCGATAACAGGACCAGCAAGGGTGTTGCAGTAGACGAACCTGCGCCAATGATCAAGTGGAGGCTGTGCCTTTTCTATTTCATCCGCCAAGCCTTCCATCTTCCTGAATATCTGCAGCCAGGAAGAAGTTGAAGAACTTCGATGTCAGGCTCTGCAAAGTTCGGTTCAATTTTCTCGTTCATGTCCGCAGATTATGTAAAGTTCCAACTTTGTCATTACTTTTCCGTTTTTCATTTTTCATCTAGCACATGTGTGCGGAGAAGCAAGTGACCGTGAACTTCTAGTGGTTTCGGCCATCACGTACAGTGGAGGCAATTTGTACGGAGTCGGTTGTGATAAACTGGATGCGATCCGCCACTTTTCTACCATTCTACTATCCTTCAGAACATAACTCATTTAGTGACATGATTCCAAGCCACGTCTTCAGTAACCGAGCAATATGATTTCTGCACCCTTCCGTTATATGTTTCAGTGTGTAGCTTATAAGTGGAGAAAATATCTTCACTGTTTCCACCAAGTTCTAGATTGACAATTACGACATGTTACCAATGTCTTCGACAACTGAGTTGGCTGTTAACGGGCAAAAAATATGGTCATTCGAACGACTGGAGTTGCTGGACCAAACCTCCATCGTTCGGTTGTTGATAAAGTGAGCCTGGGGATGCATTGACAACTTGGCCCTCTTCTCGACCACCAGTGAGCGGATGCCTGTCAAGGCACAAGCTTACCGTTACTACCATGAAATACTCCATCAATTGAAGTCAAGTGATGCTCCTGTGGCACCACTGACCCAGTCGGTGCATCAGAGACTACACCAAAAACCAGCACCTGCCAACTTCTTCCGTGTAAATACACAAGCTCTTTAAACCTCTCCCTAGAAACCAGCACCCAGGATTACAAAATAGTAAAATGTAGGTTGAGATTTATTTGGAGAAGGACGAGAAGTGGACTCCTAGCATTGTCTTTCTCTGCCCCAATTTATCTCTCCCATGATAAGGCCTGTCAAATCTACATTAATGTTTTGAGCACCTCTGACACTCACCATAGTTTGAGAGCAGAATTGACAGAGAAAGTCCCACAGGACCAGCTCCGACTATAAGAACGGGGACCTCTGTCTGAGTGGGCTTCGGCTCCGAGAGAGAGCCGGAATCCGCACTGCCGAGGTTGGTCGGAGAAGAACGAGTGCTGAACACGTGAAGCTGCTTTTGGGCAGGAAGATATCGGTGAGATTTGGAGTGATTATTCCACAATTTGGTCATACAACGGGCACGGGCACGAGCACTAACGATAATACATAAGAATGTCATGGCTGTCGGGTTAACAGCAACACCCACTCCCAGAGTTCAAGGTCAGACGAACAAGTGAGGCATCAAGCTCCCGCCCTCTCTACCGTTCCGTCCACCTGTTTCTCCTCACTCCAATCACTTCGCTCGGAATCCATTCTCAATCCTAGAACTTTCCCTTCCAGCGCCCCACGGCCCGTTTCACGATTACCCATATGCGTTCCTGTTGCACGTTTCCATCGACTGTCATGGACGCACGACTGTACGATCCCGAAGGTTGTGACAAACATCACCAGCATAACCCATATCCTGCTCAGCTCTACAACGCACCCCGTCCTCGGACCAGATCGAAGAAGAAACTCCAGCTCGACGAGAGATGAAAATCACTCTTCTCCGGACCTGACGAATTTCCCGGAAAACAAACAATTTTTAATTTCATATCTTCAAAATTGCCGCGAAGAACATCTCTCGATCCACACGTCAAAATTGAAGGATCCGACGGCTCCTTCCACAAGCCGTACACATGTAGCTCCGAGGCTGTCGAGGCTCCGAGAAACCTGGACATAGAACAAATGCGGGAGCTCGATCCTCGACGCTCTCTGCAGAGCTGCAGAGATTAGGGATGATTGGGGCCATCTGCGACGAAGGAGGGCCTGGCGCCAAGAGCGCACCGTCGGGAATCGAGAGGCGCATGAGACATGTGACTTCATGACTTCATGGCTCATGGCACTCGAGTCAAGCCTCATCATCATGGCCATCGCCATCACAGCGATCATTCCTGCATCCGTCCAAGCGCTCCGCGCCATGATCTTCACGCACAGCGCCGTGCGTGCACAAGCGCGGCGGGCGACGGTGGCCGTCGCTGTTCTCCGACGGGAAGGGAAGGGCACAGGGACGGTGGCAAGCGCGTGACAGAGAAAAAGTCGGCCAATAATAAAGAATCATGGCCGCGAGTCTCAGCCGGACTCTCACGTTCGGACCTCGTCTTCTAACCTGCTCACGGCCAACGTTGCAGCAGCATCGCACGAACCGGGGGCGACCTCCGTCCGTCCGTCCCTCCCTCCAGGTTCAGACCGTTGGGCGCTATCACGTGTCGCGAATCGCGAAGCTCGGATGCGGCCTGCGCACAAATCGAACTACCGCCCGCTCGAAGCCTCGTCCACGGCACACTTGTCACGTCCGTCCGGAGCCCGGACCCGAGGTCCACGTTCTCGTCGCAGTGCGGACGCGCTTGCCTTCTTCTACCACCGCGCCATCTTTCACGACACAGTCTTCAATCATGCGACTACCTCCACCGTCTTCACCGCTCTCTACAAAAAGAATTTCGAGCAGGAAAAGCAAATGTCGCGCCAAAAAGAAACCAGAGTAGCGAAAGGTTTCGCGCCAAGAATCACAAAACCGACGTAGATCGCGCCAGACAGGGGTCGAACCTGTGACTTTCTGCTTAGGAAACAGACGCTCTATCCACTGAGCTACAGGCGCTTCACACGAGTCATCTATTTATTTTTGTATAATCTACAAAAGTTCTCTCGGCCAAAACCAATGTGTACGAAAGGGATTAGTGCCTAGCAAATGTTGACCATCCGTGTTCAAGATGTTGACATGTGATGTGTTATGAAATAAAAAGTACACAGAATTGGATACTTATCACTTTCTAAAATGAAATGAAAAATTTTCTTCACATATAAAAAGAAACACCCATATCTCTCGAAAGTAAACTCAACTTCAAACATTTTTGAAGAAAACAACAGAGTTTTGTACTAAAGTCCGTAGGTTAAGTATTTTGTTTTGATGATAATACAGAACATACGGGAAAGTTCCTTACATAGAGAGGCCTGCTTATGCATCTTGATGCAATTAAGTTTTGAAATGTTGCTCTAAGAATTGAACAGTTCCCTTCTTGTTCCCTCACATATTGTCAGTGGGTCAAATGTACTTTCGTTAAAACAGTTTCATTAATCCTCATTATGACATGATAATCCAGTAACATGGAAGATTTGACTGGAAGCTGCATCATGAGAAGATTTGAAACAGAAGTTTCGACAAACCACATCACCTCACCCAACCTTACAATTCCGAAGAATTAGTAGAAGGCGTATGAGATTGATTTGTCGCCTGATGTACTCTTCCTTCCTCTTTGCACCTTAAAGCTATTAGAGTTGTGAAAGAGAAACAGTCGGGGTTTCTCTTTGTCCAGGGATTAAGGCATACGTTTTGCCTTCGTGGAACCAGAACAATGTGAGTCAACCCTGTGTGTCTAGTAATCAACAGATAATCAAATCAGGAGGAGGAACAGGACTGATTTCCAGCTCTGCTGACCCCGGATCTTCGCAGCGAGGAAATATGTCACATCTTTGTATGCACATGACTGGAGTCGATGCAAGTGGTAGCTTCTGTCTCACATCAACGACAATGTGAACACAATGTCAACCCAGATCCGAAGCAATGTTGAACCAACGACGCAAATGCGGAGAATAATCGGATGATGTGACTTTGTGTATGTTAACATCTCTGGGTGAGTGATTCAATGTCGCCTGGACCTCTTTTATTACCCATTGGATGTGACTTTGCCGACTATGCATGTAACTCACAACTAAAGTTCTTTTGACTACCAACGCATTACTGTCTCCTTACATATTTATTTGTCGTCTTATATATATAGCATGTAAATCGAAGAACGAGACGTAGAACAAAAAAAAATGCACTGCGTGTACAAAATATTCATGTGATACAAAATACTCTTTAGACTCAAGTAGATTTAGGGTAATCTTGAAAATCAAACTATATATAAAACTTTGTTCTTAAAAACAAAGGGTCTACCATTCAACAAGCAAATGTTTTTGAACATTTTCAATGTTTTCACTCACCTCGCTTCCTTTATTCTATCTATCATTCCAGTCACTCTCTGCTTTAATCATTGTTATCTGAAAAAAATCCAACGACACAAAAGCTCTTCCTTAGTTCAGCTTTACCTTTTTTAACCCCTACAGTTAACATTAGATCGATGGAGTCGCTTACTCTCAAACACAATCAAACTACTTGCTTCATCCATGCACTCGAAAACATCTTCAAAAATAAAGAAAACTAAATCTAAATGGCTTAGATCATCATCGCGATTAGTCTGATAAAGGAGCTTCTACATTAGCAAATGTTTATCATGGATATCTTGTTTGGTTCTTGTATAAGGCTTCCATAAACTTTACATTGGCTTCTTGCATTCTCATCCCTCAAGCAAAGCGTCAAACATTGTTTGAACCTCATATATCGTTTGGTGATAAAAAAATCTTTACTGGGTCTCGCATCATCCATATCTCGTTTTTGATCAATTCTTGTTTTGTTTTTCCTTGTAAAAGGTTAGTCTCTTCCCATCCGTTTATTGTTCTTGTTTCTTGGATCCAATTGCATCGGCTTTTCTTTGCAAGTGTAGCCGGTGGGTTGATAGGCTAATTTCCAAACGAAACAAGGTACGCATGCAGAATAATGAGATGAAAGTTTAAGAAAGCAATAGCCATACAAAAGTCTACAGGAAAAGCCAGAGTAACCAGCTTGAGGGCCACAAAGAAATGAAGAGAGCTAGATGCTTTCATCTACGTGAAATCTTGAATTATTATAACATTCCACATCCTATAAAAGAAGAGGACGCTTGAACCACCTTTATCTCCTTACCTCATCGATGGCAGCCGAGAAAACCTGGCCTACCAATCGATCACGATGAGCATGTATAAAAAAGAGCTACGCAAGGATGACACATTTTGATGTGTCATGAATGAATATTCAAGAACCCAAGGAGGCAAGATGTGATCGAGCTTTTTACCACATCTCAAGGAATGATAGTAAGCATTCAGAAGAGCTGTGGTAGCCAAACGGACGGAAGTACATTGCGAGGAAACCGCGGTGTGATTATATGCTACTTCATCAGGTTCCGGAAGGATCCAGAGCTGGTTTGCAAAAGTGGTCAGACATGGCGCCGACCTGGCAACCTCTTGGGAAGGTGGCAAGGATAGTTCAAACTGACGGCGGCGAAGCGAACACGTGGTGTATACCAAAAGCGGTCAGTAGGTGTGATTGGAAAGGTGGATTGCGTTACGAAGAATTTGGTTGGTCAGATGTTGTTGGGAATAGATCTCCCTTCTCACAAAAGACAGTGCCGTCTTTAAGTAAAAACAACAGTCCGTACCCACTCTGAGGAAATTTTACGTCGACTCGTATCCGTGACAATGAATATCACATCAGAGGCACTATGGTTCCCGCCCATTCCGAGTACAATGTGTACGTATGTAGACAATAACACTCATCAATGCTGCGCTAGGTACTTTCCAAGATTAGGTCTGCAGTTTTAACAGATACCATAAACGATGCTTCTCACGAGGTAGACAACGGCCCCGTGACTACAAGCGGGTAACGTGTGTAAGTTTAGGATATGTCCCGATGCCCTTTCGCTTCTGTCCACTTGAAGATAAGATTCTCCAGTCATGAACAGATTTTGCGAGAAAGTGCACGTTCCACAATTTACTGAACGAAGAGCTCCATACAAACAATGGCATTGCCGAATGGGAACCTCAGATCACAGTCTCCGTGAAAGCTGGGACATTCAACTCAGTTCAAACTATCACAGGGTGAAGAAGAACGCAAATAAACTCGCAAAAATGGTCATATCATTCAACGGAAAAGTGAGCGGCATCGGCAGGACAAGGATCGAGAGTAAGCTGTCATTTTGGATTTTGAAGTCTAATTTTACAAAGCCGATCATTCCATGAAAATTTCGACACTCATTTCCCGTCACTTTAGTGGGAAGTCTACTCGTACAGTACACCATATTGACATGGTAAGCCGATTCCGCGTTCAGCGGGTGGGCACTATTCTATCATTAACTCTCCTAACTATGCTCTTCGCTACTGGGAACATTATCTCGTCGGAAGAATCCGAGTTCTTCTATTCATCATTCAACCCAAACTAACAAATAGGCTTTGACAAGTCATAGAACCGAGTCCAACTGCTTACACTACCCGCGCAAAAAACGCAGAGCAGGAACTTCCAGACTTCGGTGGCCCGTATCTCGGTAATTAGAATGTAGAGACACTTTGACCACTACTACCTGATAATCCTTCCCACACGGCAAAATCTGTGGCTATGGAGAAAGGACAAGGACAGAGATGTCTAGAGTCCTACACCTGATCTACTCATTGGGTTTTAACAAAAGAGTTCCAGAAAACTGATTGCTCCATTCCAAATTGCAGACTGCTGGGTGGCAAAGTATAAGAAATTATGATACAACGTTGACTAATCAATTTCGCCTTCCTCCACGTCCACACCATTTTCCGTCTCTTTCTTCTCATCGTCTTCTTGTCTGTCTCCTTCACTGTGCTTTTCGTAGTCTTCATCCTCATCGTCATCATCTTGCTTTATAAAGAGCCCTAGCTGATGTAAAGGATTACCTCCTTGCAGGGCAAATATTGGCATTCCGTCGGGACTTTCAGAATTTGGACTACCATCGTCGCCGGAACTTTCTCTGGCTTGGCTTCGAAGCATTTCCAAATCCTTTAAAATTTCACTGTTCTCATCTATCTCCACCGTCTTCTCCATCTGTCAAACCGACCATTCCAGACGGTTATACATATACATGCGGCTAACGACATCAGCGAATAGCTACTGAACTTCATAGAAAAGGCCTGAATAACCTCAAAAACTGCCTCCGAACTTACTTGCTGAAGTTCAATTCTTGCGGCCTCCCGTTCAGCTTCTCGTTTTCGCCTGGCTTCAGCGGCGGCCTCTGCTTCAGCCTTCCTCCGAGTGACTTCAGCAGCTTTCGCTTCGGCATAGAGACGAGCTTTCTCTGTGTATCATAACTACCGCGATTTAAGTAAATCGCCAAGCTATGGGGACACCTACGACGATGGTTCCCGGGATGCATACCCAGGAAAACACCACTCTCACACTATCCATGTGTAAATCTTGGGACTTCACCACAATCTATCAGGTTTATAACATTTGGTGCGAATGGCTACTTCAAAGCTGAACAAAGAGTCTTGATTTCACAAGCCTTCGGTCATGAACTGCCGGCACTACCCCAAACGGGATAGTGCCGGCAGCAGACACCAAAATGACTTCAGTCTAGTGATCAAAGGCAAAGTATTCGAATCCAATTCAATAGTTATCATACAACGTTGAGACTGGATGCCAAAGAGACTGACCTTCTTTTTGCCGTTTTTCAAGAACTTCGCGATCCCTCTTCAATTTCTCAGGATCAACCTTTTCATTCTGGAAAACACAAATAACCACATCATTGATAATGGTGCCTCCAATTACACATATCCTGAAAGCTTCACTTCGTCAAAGAAGTAGTTTGAACGTTTTAACCACTATCAAACATTCCTCAAAACACCTGCCCGCTAATCCAGAGGCGAATTTTCCGGCCCACCTTGTTAAGAGGCAAGGTCTTCTCCTGAGCCTTAAGGATGGTATCAGCAAACCTCCCCCTTAACAGAGCAGCCCGGAGGAGCTTTTCTGGGGACACCTGCCTCTCAGGTAGACCTTCCTCCCCTGTCAAAGGAAAAGATAGTTCAGGACGAGAACACCCAGACCCCAACTGGAATACAGAAGAGAAACGCTGATTTGGATGAAAAAAATAACCTAATCTGATAGAACGACCTACTTGGCTCATCTTGCCGACCGGAAGTGGACATTTTGCCAGCCAAGGGCTCCTCATTGGGCTCGGCTACGTCATCAACTGCATCCTCTGAGGGAAAGCAAGAAGCGTGTCAATGTCCTGCTCAGGGGAGACAAAGCAGAGCAGAAGACAAAGCGAGAGAGTAAACAACAGCACGGCACAGCGGGTAGCATATAATTGAAAAATGAAGAGAAAACGTCAAAATTAGTTTCTAATAATTCGGAACACATACGCACTAAATTCAAATTCAATCACAACTCTAGCATCCTTGAAAAAGTAATAAATCTAAAGCAAACTTGACAAAATAGCGGAAATTGAATTAGAGATAGCAGGACATAAGATTACAGACTGTGCATCTAATTAGTGCGCACTTTTTGAAACCTCCGCCTCAGCAGCGGGACTCGCTTTCGAGTTCACTTCAACATTCTGAGGTTCATCAGCGTCTGAGTCACTCCCCGAAGAGCTCCCTGAATCAGAGTCTGTGAAAAAACATCCCAGTAAGACCGGAGAAAAGGTAACGAAAAATCAAACTAATTAATAAGCAAAGAGTAAGGGTAAATTACTATCTCCAGAAAAGTAAACTCAATGAAATGGTAAATGGTAAGTGATAATAGACCATGCCCGGGGGACCCAAATGGTCAAAAGGCTGAAAAACACAATACAAGCGAAAACCACAAACAAGTGAAAAGACCCCAAAGGTCAATCCCCAGCTAATGCCAAGAGCACTAGAACGGTCACTAATAATGTCCCTAGTATAACAACCTAAATCAAAAAAGGAACTAACTGTAATAAAGGATAGAAATTCTCCATATCTATATTATGAGCAAGCCTAATGTCTTCGTACCTACAAGTGACGAATACATGCTCTTCAAAATTGGAATAAGTACTGATCAAAGGTGGAGAATTTACCGCTGGAAGAGGACCCAGAGTCGCTGCTCGAGCTACTGGAACTGCTAGATGCTCCACCCGCATCCTTTTCAATGACTACGGGCGCGCACTGCGTGGGGGCTAGGTCATCGTCTATGTCAACATCTTCTTCTTCAGCATCCGCACCTGAACAGCACTCATAACCGTGAGCACGCCAGGGGAAGGTCGGATGAACGCTTGCAATGTCGGATGCTTAGATTAAAACTGCCAAGGCTTACCTTTCCGCGGTTTTTTTGGAGTCTCGCCAGTCCCGTTATCTTGCGCCTGCGTTCCATCGGAAATACACGAGAAGTTAGGTGTCTGGTTGGACGACACCAATGCGGTACAAAAACGCGCGATCGTAGGTTCGAACAAGAAGCGGGGCTCAGACTAAATCCAACAAAAAAATTTGATGAAATATCCGGGTGTCTTTTCAGTATTTTTCAAACAGCACTGGCCATCGGGGTGGCGGCGTGATAGACCCGGGGAGGCCTCTAATGATAGACACACAGCTACCAGATAGGGTCATGACGGGTCGAACTGAAGGATACTGTGAGTTCAAACAGAGATCGTACGAGCAGTGCGAAGTTGCGAAGCATAGGTTCCTCCTCTACTGTGCTTCTTGAAAAGTCTTCGTCAAAACACTTCTTACTGACTACGCATAAACAACACACTGACCTAACCATAAAGCTCTTAGTTCTAAGAACAGCCGGATGAGATGCAAAGCATACGTGAAACAGGCTCCACCTCACATCCTCTGCCAATGAAATACAGCAAGGACCAGAGGAGTACCTGGGAGCCATCTTGCTCAGGCCGTGGAGGAGGCTCCTTCGGGGTTACCTTCTTCTTGACTTTTCCCCTGCTCTTAGCACAGTTCGTGACAAAACGGTCTAACTCCCACAACGTATCATTGTCGAAAGAATCTATGTCCACCTCTATTTCATCCTCGTTTTGACTAACATTAGGATTCCTCTTCTTAATGATCTGAACGATACGCTCGAGTTTGTCCGGAGGTAGATTCTCCAACGCAATGCTGAGCTTCCGTTTCTCTTCAAAAGTCATAGGACGCTTCTCTAAATCGTCCGGCCTTGGCTTCGGCTGCGCAGGAGGCCGTCCGCTGCTGGGCCTAGTTGTTTTCGACAGCGACTGTATTTTATCTTCTATATTTCTAAGATGCTGTTTCAGATCGTTATACTGCTCACTTTGACCATGGCCTTCGGCAGCTAAGGCTTCTTCCTCGGCCTTCACCTTGAGTTTGTCCTCATCTACCTTATCCTCTATGTTTTTCCATCGATCTTCAAACAAATCTCTAAGAACCTCCGCCATAACATACACATCGTGACCTATAGGGTTGTACGTCATAGCGTTTCGAAAAGTCAGCCGTACGTCTTCAGCAAACTCCCCGGGGACGTGGTACTGACCTCCGTCAAGTTTCGATTTGATGGTCCCAAGATCCATCGGTTTCTTTATGACCTTGTGGTAATCATGCAGGCCGAGCTTCACAGCATCCACTGGTTCGTTGAACACCCAGGCATGCTTGTGAGATATGAGCTTTTTCAACAGAGTACCACAAAGCTTCATGATATCCGACATGCGCTTGCTGCGAGCGGACTCCACTTTGGCGCGCTTTGCGTCCCTCGCATCTGATGCCTTTCCTTGAGCCCCACGTTTGGCCCCAACTCCAGACTTCGACTTCAGCTTCTCCGCTGGAGGCATCTTGTCCTTCCCAGAGACAAACTCGGAGTTGAGATAGAGTTGATTAGCCTTGGGAGTGCGCTTCTCCTTGCCGGCGACACCAGGGGTTCCCTGAAGCCTATCGCCCGAAACAATGACACTGGGCTGCCGCGCCAGCCTGGCTTCCCTTTGGGACATGGCTCGAGGAGTTTCGACCGGGGCGGGGGGTTCGGAAGTAACTTCTTTGCCCGCAGAACCTCCATTGTCAGTCCGAGACAGGTGAGCATCACTATGAGTGGCTCGAACGCCACGATCTAGTCCCTTCATCAGCTGTTCCTGCCTCGCGGCAATCTTTATGGACAAACCCTCAACCTGTTCCAGCTGCATCTTAAGCCTCTTCCTAAGCTCTTTCTTCTCCTCCCGGGATTTAGCCACCACAGGCTCCCACCGAAACCCATCCGGACCCAAGGCACCAGATGTCTCCTTGACTCCATCGGCGTTCAGGCTCATGGACTTCCTCTTGAGACCCACCGAAGTGGCGGATTGCACCCATGGTCCATCCATCAAGGGAGGAGGATGGAAAGGGTGACAATCCACTGACACGGCGGCCCCAGGAGTGAAAAAAAGAGGAGCTATGGTGACCACACTTGAAGACACCAGAATATATTTTCAATCTCACTCCAAACAGGACGAACAAGCACACTGAAGAAACAATCCTCCTCAAAAACCCTTCACCTCCTATAAACACCCTCCCTTATGCTCTTCTTCTTGCCATCTCACCTCTCCCTGCACGTCTCCCAAACCCTCCCCTCCACCTCCACTCCCCTGTTCTCATCCTTTTAGCGTCACAATCCATCGCTAGAATGACACATTCCATCCTTCTTCAAATTCATTACCACAACCTCGAAACGGCCGTCGGCTGGAGTCCAAAATGGTTCGGAGATCTCAGATCGAGTGGTCCGACACCCTATCCTCGCTCCAGAATGCACTCTAGACCCTCGCAGCTCCAAGCCCGAGTCCTGCTTCCCACCGTCGCACACTTAAAGATTCAAATCTAATCGCTCCGCGAGGGAATTGCAAGCAGATTAAGACACCGGCCACAGGGACAAGATGCGAACTCCGGGCGGAGCAGGACCCCCGGGAGTCTTGAGCGCTCGCTTCTTATGCCTCTCCCTCCCTCCTCTTCTACTAGCAACTCGGAAAGTAACTTTCCCTCGCGCCGCAGGTAAGTCAGGCAGGCTCTTCTGAGAGCTCGCATAGCATATCAGAATTTGCTGATGCTGGTGAGATGGAGAAACGGGAGGAGAGGACGGGGAATCCACATTGAAAACAGGAGGAAGAGGAGTCGCACAGAGCCGCGACGTGGAGCGAGGGGGGGAGGGGATGAGAGGAGAGGAGAAGACAGGAGAGAGGGAGGAGAGAGGAGAAGTGAGGAGGAGAGGAGCGAGAGGAGAGGCGAGGCGAGGCGAGGCGAGGGGGGAGGAACTGGGATGGATGAGAGATGGTGGTGAAAGCAGAGAGCTTTAGAAGAGAAGGAAGAGAGAGGGCCGAACGGAGCAGGGGTTGAGGAGGGGAGCGTTGGCGAGTGCCGGCGGCGAGCTGCGTTCTTAAAGGCGGTCCTCGCATGCGCGCGCGCTGAGGTGGTCCGCCCCGCCCCGTCCGATTGCTCGCCATCTGACCGCTGCGCCTGCTCCATCTCCCGCTTCTAAAAGTGGCCCCGAAGTCTAGGTAATTTCTCCCCGACCCGCGTTCGAATCCAACCCTCCTCGATGGTCCAGCACGTCTCTCGTTACAAGAACCGCCGCCATGTCATCATTCATCGGGCCTTCTAACAAGATGGGCCCTGTTCTAACAGCGAGGTAACTTCCATCTGAAGTAACGATACATCACGATGTCTTGTTCACGATTTTCTGATTTCCCCATACAGTAAAATTACTCCGTCCTCGGATTTTCAGCCCCCACCTTTCCCACTTGCAGCGTTATGTTCGACATTCGACACCGACCGACCTCACTCATTTCCGACCTCTGAGTGACATTGGGCTCGATGTACTGTACATTACCAACACAGCATGAGAGTATTGAATGTACTTTGTTTCAGATTAAATGATCATGCGAATATGTGAAGAAGCTGTTGGGTGTATGTGATGTCTACCGTTGTCCATGCAATATCGATAACATACTTCTTCGAATCCTTTTTTCGCAATTCTTTCTTCAAATGAAGAGACTGTTTTTCTATTAATTCAAGAATAAATGCTATGTCCCCCGACAGAAATTGCTACTTAACGGCCCACATTCGGAACACGGTTACCTGATCTTAAACATCTTGAATATCTACGATCCCTATGATCAATGAAAACGTTGCAAAACGACCTGTGAATCCGTGCACCCAGAATCTATTTTCAATCATTTCTGTAAGTTGGCATTTGCTTTTAGGAAGTTAGATTTGATTTTACAGTATCTGTTTGGCCCATTCTAATATTCCCATGTTTAATCAACGGATTATACTTTCTCTTTGTATGGTCAGCGTGTCATATGTTATACCAAATATTTCCGCTTTTGCACCCAAGCAGCGTAGGTTACTTATTTTGCTTCTTTCCTGTAGGGTTGCTTAAATTGTCGAGTGGACTATTCTCTAGAGATCACAAAGGGCTTCCCTATAAGAAATGATAATCATCCGACATTATTCTACCATTTCTATAGTTTGTATGTTTGAATATAATTATATTGATTACAAACACTATTTCATAAATAAATTAAATTCTTTAAATAATAACTAATCTTATATATATATATATATATACACGAAGAATGTATACATCTTTAAGTGAACTTCATCAGTTCAATAAAACAAATAATACTTTAATTGTTTTTTAATTTCGATAATAATTCCAATTATTCTCAAAATACATTTCATATTATAAAAACTTACAAATTTATAAATTTAATAAATTTTGATAAATGATTTATATACCATTATATCAACTTAAATACTGTGTAAACTCTAAACGATTAACTGTTGGGTTAATTTTATCTTGGATTCTCTAGTTAGTGATAACAATGGTTAGATAATTAACTGTGATTATGTTAGCTAAGATGTGCACCTTATTTTTTCTTGTATAGAAGAGAGAAAGAGACATCCACTCCGTATTGTTCAAGATTGAATTTAGAAAGTGAGCATGAGGGAGTAGAGCTTGGCTATGGGGGTCGTGTATACGTCTATACTTTAGTGAAGTTTCTCTTGCCATATCTTGCCTGTGGACCTAGCATGTGGAAGATGAACCACGTTGTCTTGGTGTTGTGATTGTCATGCGTTTTTATGGATCTGGATGGTTGGACCTTTCATACACATCATTTTTCAGCTTAAATGGTGTGTAAACTAATTTTTGAATTTGAAACACCAGCGGCTAAGGTCATATTCTATAATGTATATTACTATATATTCAATTGAAATGACTCACATGATCATAAAGTTACAACGTGTTAACTATTAACATAATATGTTTGATAATAAAATAAAATTTGAACCATAAAATAAAGGTTCATTATATTGAATGTCAAATTTGTTTATGATAATTTTTTCTATTAGCATATTGAACTCAACATTTAGGAAAAAATATTATTATGATCTAGTTTGAATCTTTAATTAGATTAATCTGATAATATATTACACTAAACATACTGTTGAAAGATGTGTGTCATAATGTTGCATACAATTGTATTCAAAATAATTATTTATTATGATATTTACTTCCAAATCATAATATGAAGTTAATACATATATAATTTTATGGTTTATTTTAAAATATTCATTATTTGATGCTTTTATAATAATGCAAAAACATAATAAACAGTTGAGACTTTGAAACGTTTCACACTGAGCAATTAGAGTTGAAAATAGCAGATTTTTTTTAATATAAGATAATAAAATTAATTGTCAGTATCAAGATGATGTCTTGTCTTACTTTGTAATTGAATTCTAATATATTCTATATTAAAAATTAGAATTTGCTAATGATTTTAACATATGACTTCAATTTTCAACATGATGTAGCAAAATAATTTTAATTTGTATCCATTAATAAATTAAATTGAAAATCAGTAAATGAAATATAATATTTGTCATTTATTTGCTTTGAAAAATCCATAAAATTAACAAAATACTCATTTCTTTAATTTCTATCTTTCCTATTCAACTGTTATTATCAATAAAAAAATAAATCTTATTACATTAATTGAACATACAAACCATTTTTCCCATATTCAAACAAATATTTTGTTTGATAGAGATTGCAAAATTGAAGATTAGATAATATAATATAATTTTAATATTAGCTACCTTAATTTCAAATAATTTTATGGATACTTCTGAAGATCATGTAAGATTAATCATATCACTTGTAAAATATTAAAGGATGACTACAACATTATTCATGAAATTTATTTATTTTGATATTTAATTCTATTTTTTTTTTTTTACTATATATGTAATTTCATGATTTATATAAATATACTTTATTATAGCTACTTTAATAATGCAAGAGCATAAAAACAGTTGACATTAATTTTTACTTTTCATAATGTTTGCAATTGATCTAATGTTTAATTTCATAATATCATCAATAGAGTTATGAATTAAGATGTTTTACTTAGGACTTCTTACTTTGTTCACTTCATAAATAGGCTTGACATTTTCTATGGCGTTAACCAAAAGTTATATTTTATGGATTTTTGTTAGCATACGTGAGTTACTTTTGGCAAGATTAATTAATTTTGATGCCTTGATTCTTTGGTGTAAATCAAGTTTTGGCAATTGACGACTTTTTTGTTATGAATGTGAATATAAGAGATGATAATAATGTTGTAAGTAACAACATTTGATTCTATTATTTGTCTCTTAATATATGAAAATTATTTTATATTTTTTTCTTGATTCATCAACATTACATGTTGAAGTCAATGATTTCCAAAAACAATTCATTGTTTTTATCATCCTTGGATTTTAATATATGTCGCAACACATTTCTAAAGATTTGAGACACAAATGGTTTGATGTTTTTTATCATAAAACCATGAGCAAATTTAAATGTATATTTGTAGTCATAGTAGTTAAATATAAAATGTACTTAAAAAAAACTAATTTTGAGTTATTACATATATCATAATATTTCTAAAAATGAAATAACTTATAATTTTTTACTATAATATACACCATGCAAAAAATGTAGATATCAAAATCTGTTGTATTAATTTTTTTTGTTGACTAACAAAATTTCTTTTATAAAAAAAACGTGATACTAAAGTAAATGTGTCACAGAAGTTGTTCGCATTCATGTTAATAATCAAAGGATGTATGTATGCAATGAATAAATCCAAACGAAATTTGTTACGTGGAATATTTTATCAAATTGCAATATAAATTTCAATACAAGAAATGTATGAATCAAAAATATTAATTGTAAAATAATGAAATGGATTCATAATTACTGCAGCTATTCTTATTAGATATTATAGCTGAATTTTATGATTGTGAAATTTATTGTACATTTTTTAAATAAAACTTTCACTTTTATTAATAACTCATGACGCTGCACTTAAACAAATACGTTTCTAGAGTTTATCAAATGCAATAATAAATCATGAGTGTAACTTTAAATATTTAACTTTAATTTAAAAACTTTTCTAAAGATGTTCATGATATAAACAGGGTATTGTTACATTTACACCCTTCGTGGCAATTGTCATGGCAACAAGAGTGTTCAATTTGCAAAGTATTATGTTGTATCTATCTTTTTTGAATCTAATCACAATCATCGCCTAAGTCAATTTCAGTTATCTCAAAGTCAACACTACTATTTTCTGCACTATACACAATTTTTTTCATATCATGCAATTCATCATAACAATCGTTTTTCATATCATGCAATACATCATACAAGCAGATACTAGATGAAGAAGAAAAATTAAATTTTATAAGTCTTGTTATGATGACAATTGACTCAAAGAAGGGTGACATTACCAGTTTGAGAGCTTGATTTAACAATCTCCTTTAAATATTAAAATATTTTCAGTGACAAATTAAAGTAAATGATATTTTTATTTATATAAATGTAATTAAAAATAAATTTTATTTGAACATTGAAATATTCCTTTCATTAAATAATAATTGATGTGTATTCAAGTCTAATAAACGGGGGAAAAATGTGATAGAAAGTACCAAGTAAATATTGCATATGTGATAATTACAAAACCTACACGTGGTTGGATATTCAATTTTGTATGTGTTTGGCGAGTGGAGCAGAAAACATAAAAGGTATTCATTTATCGGTAAATGCAAAGAGGTGAGATCTATGTCCCTGTAACGCTGGAGTTATTTACAGCTGGGACGCCGAGTTCGACATGTCCTTAAAACGGAACTAAAATATACAATACTAAACAACAACGTTGTCAATTTTTTAGGTGATTCTGTAGCCTGCTTCATGTGTATCCCTTATTTCACAACAACTAGTAGTCGTCATATATATCTATATTTATATACCATAGACTAATCAAGATAAGTAGACGGCAGTGATGATTCGGTTGTTTATGCCAAAACTCAGTATTGATAATACATGTATTAGTGATGTTCATTGAAACATTTCTCCTTGTGATACCATTTTGATCTCCTTGTGTTACCTTGTAAGTTATAGTTTAGTTCGTCCCTTCAAAGGCTTTATGGAATCTCCCTAAATATGATTTTTATAATATCTGTATCGACTTGAGCCTCAACATTTGATGATACGCATTTTCACGCTATCATTGTAAATGTTATTTGTTATCATCACATTATTCTGACGAATCAGATTAAAATGATGGTCATTTTGAGGTTCAAAGATGGCAGATTAAGAAGGAAATTAGGTATTGACTTTTCTGTTCCATCGAACAATAAGCGGCGGAAAGCAAATGAGCACTATGGAAATACAACAAAAGTTATGGTAAGCGGTCAAAATTTTACTAACCTTGCGGAACCTGAATTTACATCACGCAAATATACCGAAGGTAAGTTTAAGTTCTAATAACAAGAGTGGGCCCATGTGGGCCTGCAAAACTTAAGAACATTGAATTTCTCCTAACACCGTTCTAGAACAGAATGTTCTAGAGTCAAGAAAGGGTGTGCTTCAATTCTTTGCTTTTTGGACGTTTTCGGAAGTATGCACATTTTCGGTGGAAATGATTCATTCCTGTCAAAGAGGACATTGAAGTTCGTATTGACCCGCAACAGACCGATTGTACTGTTTGAGAGCCATCACCCGCTTTAGATAAAGAAAATACCCAAACCGGCTGTATCAGTATCATCTACGGTTGTAGATACACTGCATGATCTTGAGACGCGGAGCTCGATCGTTTGAAATGTGATTTGGTCTTTTAACAGTTTTGCAGGTTTTAGATAACACCGCTGGTTAAATGAAAAATGACAGTGAACACCCACTGGACATTGGTAAATAGCACCAGGGATACAGGGATCCCTAAAACAATGAATAGAATGTCCTCATTCACACGTGGACTAAACAATATCCCAAAGTACTCATGTTGACATTGTCATGTAGTATTAAGATTCAAATCCTTCATGATAATTTATAGGTATTGTTGATATCGATTATTATTGAGTAGGTCATGTGATTTAAGTATCTACCCATAATCAGCACTTCACACATGCAGTTCCAAACTCTAAAATCCAATATATTGCCATTAAGGAAGTAGGAAGCAATGTAGAACAAGAACATCCTCTGGGGTAAATATTACGTCAATTTAATGAAGGGTGATCACATAATCTAATAAATATGTGGGTTGGGGCAGTGGCAACCCCAATATAAATCAACTTTCATTCAGATTAGCTTTCAGTAATCTCATTTTAAATCATATGATCTTTCACATAGGGTATTTATCCATACGATTTGATGAATTACAAATGTAATTTCATACTCCTAAGGCTACTTTTCCAAATGTAATCAGAGCTTTGTGATTATCCGTTGCTATAATATACACATAGATATATTATAGCAACGGATAGTCACAAAGCTCTGATTACAAAATTGATTCCCATCTCGTTTGATATACCATGAATTTTCATTTCATCAGTTTAAAGTACAACATGATGTGTTTTTCTGTTTGCCACATGAAAAAAATTCGACTCTTCATCCCTTTCATTTTTTCAGCGAAACATAACGGGCGTTTCGTGCAAGGAACGGGCTTTCATATTCAGAGATTGTATCCAAAAAATATTGAAATCGTTTACCTCACTGTTCTACGACGTTGTGAAGTGATGAAAGTAGAAATATTTATTGAATTTGGTAAATTATGGTACTTATTACTGATATAAATTTTAATGAAAAAAATACTTATGATTTGGATACCAATAAACATCAAGGTTCCATTATATGACCTATTCATGAAATCGAGAATAAGATGAAAAAGAAGATGGCTCATATTCACCTGTCGTGCATGGTTCCAATATTATCCATGTGGCATAATCATGGCATTTTATCATCGAAACCAGTAAGAAAACATCCATTGATCTGAAATAATATGAAATAACCTTTAATTCTAGATGTTATCACATTGCTAAGCGTCTGTGTCGATGGAAATAAACGGAAAGCATGGGAAGAAGAGAATATTGAGAGGACACTCACTTCAAGCTCATGAGATTTTAAAGCGAAGGAGTCGTGTCCTTAATACGGGGACAAATTCGGACCTAGCTCTATCATAGGTACGACTGCATGGATATTCCCACGGGTTTTGCTGTATAAGTCGGCTTAATTGCTCATAACTGGGACGAACGATAGGGTGCTGTATATTTCAGGGCTCACCAGATGGACCAAATCAACATGATTCTCTTGGACCGTAAATTGAAGCAGAATAGGTCGAGAATACGGCATGGTTAGATGTAGTACGCTATGCCGCGCTGTAGACGAAGGATGCAAAAGGTCAAAGAGAAGAATAGATGTAAGATGTATAACGAGACGCCCGAAAAGGAAAGGAGACCAATGGTCAATGTTAGGAGCCGTTCCCTAGTTGGAAGCCAATCCTACGTCGTACGAGGATTTGCCCGTGACGGTCCTAGGCTGAGCGCCACTGGACCACCACCGTAGAGGACACCGGCGCTACAGAACAGAGTCGGGAGGGAGGGAGGGGTAAATAATTCGAATGCGTTCAGCGGGCTTACCCGGCAGACTCAGGGCGCGGTCAAGAGCACAGGGAAGATCCGGTCGTTATGGGGAAATCCGCCGGTAATTGCATCGATTCGCAGCACAACGTACCGAGTCGACTGACGAAGTACTTTCCGTCCTACAAAAGGGCGCGAAATGGAAACTCCCGGGGCCGTCCGATGCATCATCGGAAGGCGTGGGGGAGAGATACTCAGGAGATTCAGCATTTTTGGAATTATTTGATTAGTCCGATAAAGTTAATAGACTGGTAGGACACGATGCGAAAGCGTGTGGAGGTGGAGGAGTACGTGGCAGGCAGCGGGCGGTTGGAGGGACAAAAGCGGGTGTTCGCATTGGGCGGCAATGCGGCAACGGGGCTACGTGTCCCACGAAGGAAGCCGAGGAATCGGGAAGCAGGATTCACCACTGCCTCACGTCAGCGGCCGGAGAAGTGTGTTCGCCTGGCGGAGAGATGATATTCCACTTTTTGATCGTCTGGTGCGCAATCGAGAGCAGGAATCGGCCCAGATGGTCAATGCTGGCGGAGAGATCAGCAGCAGGGGAAGGCGGCGAGCTTTCGACGAGCGATTTTGGTGCTCGATGAGCTGAAAGGCGGCAGGATATAAGATTCTGTTAGGGTAGCCAGGGTAGCGAGCACGGCTTGTGTTGGTTTGTACAGGCGATCGACGTCGACCGACCAGGAGTGGCGATCGCGCTCGGCATCGAAGGATTTTCGGCGGCGGGTGAATTGATTTCGAGGAATTCGATCAGTACAGGTTATGGCGATGGCGTCTGTGAGTCCATCCTTGCCGCTTACGAGCCATGAGATGACGCAAAGACTATGGAGCAAGCCGTTATGGATAGGCAGGAACAGGTCCTTTCTCGCAGGTTCGGATTGTAGAGGTTCAGGTGGCGTTTATTCTGGCGTTGCGAATTCCGTTGGGGTTGTAGTTGTAGGACCGGGGAGTGCGAGGAGCTCATGTTCGAGCGAGGGTATTCGCACGGGTTCCCTGTTTGTGCAGAATAGAGTTTGTAGAAGGTTCGATGCGCTTAGGCGACTGAACTGCGTTGGAAACAACGAGGAAAGCGGGACTGGTGAGGAAGAGGCGAAGCCGAGAGATGATGATGACGAGGTAGACCAGGCGCTGAATTTGGATGGCCAAATTCCGACTTCTTCAGATGGTTTCTTGAAGCAGGTCTCTTCCAACGCGTATGATCTGCGAAGACAGTTGGAGCAGAACATCGAATCGAGCAGTTACGATGGTATCGTGGCTACACTTTGACCTATCTCAGCTCCCTGACCTGCTTCCGGTGACCGATTTTGTCATGTGGCGATTTTTTGAAGCGCCAATGTTCGAGTGACAGGTTTTGTAAGTAGGTTTTTAACGGGGAGCTTGGTAATTTGCCGTTTCGGAAAGATTCGAGTGCTCGTCAGTATTCCTCACCCTCTTTATTCTGCAGTTTATCCGATGATTGGGCATCCTGGTCTTTTCCGTTTTCCAAACGCTACCTCTCTATTTCACTTCACGACGAATTTGGACATACTTGATACGACGGGAATTGGCTGGAAGGTCCTCATGAATTGAACTTCTATGTCATAATATGGTTCAGCCGAGAGCCCTTCGCACTCGCTGGACTGGTAAGCAGAGTCTCTTATGTGGTCATACGTATCGGCTCCCTACTTTTTTACCCTGATATTCCGATTTATGCACTCTATTACGAACGTGGTGTCAACGTAGAACATCTCCGAAGCTTTTCTACTCGGAAGAATGCAGTACAGAAGGTGGATATTGCAAGTAGGATAGGGACCTATGTAAATCTGGAACCTGGTTCGAGCGAAAATTCCCCCGTCAGCTAAGCGGAGAGTTTTGGAGCTTGTCTAAATTCCCACGAAAACACAACCTTTAGGATAATTCCTCGTACTAATCTAAATTTTAGTTTTAATTTGGGCGTTTTTTTTAAAATATTTTCTACGCAGCTTTTAATTATACTGAAAAAAATGATATATGACGGTTTTTGCGTCACCTCCTACTCAATGCATGACCCAACGCTGAAAATAATATTTGGAGCAACTGAGCTAATGTTGTCTCTAGTTTTTGTTGGGATAGTTGAAAGCTCCGACCTAATTAAAGTTGCACCGAACAGGTTGCAACGCTATGAGTGATTGGGTGACGATTTCATGGAACACAGATGACGTTATCCCTCAGAATTAGATCATCAGGGGTTATTCAAATGACCTGATAAAGGCAATTTAGAACATCGTGCATGTTAATATTACGTCCTCCTTCCTCAATGATTGGGCTGGGTGCATGACCAAGATTGTTTACGTGTGACAATCTCTGAATAGTTTTTGCGAACTGCAGTGCTCGAGGCTAATCCGTGGAGGGAGTCTTCAAAACCCGTTTACGTCTTGGCTCAAGATGAAAATCGTTTGTTGACTATGAGGACCAGAAGAGCCCGAAGGTGAGGAATGAGCTACACCTCAATATCTTGCGAGGTTGATTGACTTTTACACCATGCGGTAGACTTCTGCCCGATTTCCTTGATTAATATGACCATTTGCTGATGGAGAAAGTACAAGCATGAACCTCAATTGGACACATGAAATGTGCCTGTTGTATTGAGCGTGTTTTGTCTTGACAGTGAAGTAGAAAGGGAGCTGGGTATGCTTTTTCCGAAGCGAGGTAGCAGGAGAGGTAGACAGGGGAGACCAAGTTCTCAATTGCGTGATGATGAAACAACTGCTTCACCTACCGGTGCGGACACTCGGTTTCGAATGTTAGTTGAGGACGTACGAGAAGGCGTGCTTGTAAGTACATCCTTATTGTAGAGATATGAAAAAATTAAGATTAGAATGCCCCAAATGCAATAGACTCGTGAAAAACTCCATCTACCTCATTCGCCACTAGACTAAGTTTTAATGCATGTAAGGATGTCTGACTTCGAAACTGACAAAATGATAATACGATTCATGACTTATTTGGAATGTGACGAAGCGATTTGTTCATTCTTTTCAGGTTTTTGAGGATTTAGAGGATGCCACTCGTTATTGCAGTTTGCTGGATGGTGAAGGAAAAGGTTGTACAGGTGTCGCGGAATTGGACGCATCCGATGTGAGTTTCCATTTAGTCAGGACGGACAAGGGGTTGGTGCCGGATGAAACACTCTAGTTGGATTATTTGTTATCAACTATATGAAATCCGTGTTTATTGGTACTGTGATTGTCTTTCATACAGTAGAGATGATTAATTTACATCGATGTGTGGAAGGGGTACCGTGGACTTGCATGGAAATTAAGTCATTCGCTTTCATGTATTACAGGTGTTTGCCGTATGTCAAAAGACTCAAAGATTGGCCGTGTTATTTCGCCGTGGAACCACTCCCCCGCAACCTGATCGTCTACAACTAAATCTGAAAGCTCGGAAGCGATCTTTGGAAGATTAGTTTTGATCAGTTTAGGGTCAAATTGATTCATGAGAACTGTCTGTCATGACATTGAAACGCTTTAATGGTGGGAGCTGGTCGATTGTCGGTGACCTTCAGGTAAGCAATGTCGAGGCCGGTGTATTATCTGTATATAGTAACAGGTCATGCCTGTATATAATTTGCCTCTGAATCTCCTGCATTTAACAGGAGTTGTAAGTAATTGTCCTCCAGTGGAAGATGTAATATAATGTAATCTTTAACAACGTATTTATAAACAATCACCTCTGGAGTATTCGTTGGTGTATGGACCTCTTGAATGATTCCTTATATTCCAAAAGCAGTTCTTTGTTGTGATATCGACGAAATCAACAACGTCAACAATAGAGTGTTGACGTTGTCGTGGTAAATGTTGGAGTGAGATTTTTGGAGATTGTATGCAGGTTCACGCACTATCGAATTATAGCTTGCATTTCATTGATGTTGAGCACGTTACTGGTGTGATTATTGGATATGAAGAATGTGGGTTATATTTTGGCATTGAATTCTAGTACGACGTGGAGGGATGTTGTTAAAGAAGGAAGTTTGCTCAATAGGCCTTGGGTTAACCACAAGAAGTGCTACCTACCGTGGAGCCATGCGGTAGAGGTGTAGTTATCATCGAATTCAAGGTGTGGATCGAAAGAAATAAGTCCGAGTGAAAAGTTATTTGGACAAGAATCTCACTGATGTTAGAAGAGTAGTTGGGTGTTCGGGTCTGTGTCCTTGATTTGATAATCTTCCCTTTGCAATAAGTCCTTGCGGTTGGTTGATCACGTTTTATCTCGATTGTTACCACATCTCTCTTCTTGATATTCAGAACCTGAAACCACGAAGACGAGGTTAGGGTGGCTTTCTTATACCTGTGTGTGTTTGATTGTGTTGGAAATACAGTGTATTCTGGTATTTATTATCTCTGTCATGTTCAGTCTCGACAGTATTTCGCCGCTTAGCACACTCAGAATTCATAATCATATCCTTTGTTTTTTATGATATCTTTGTTTATCAGGTGATGTCTTGTCTTTCCACGTTGATAGATATTCATTTCCATTCAGCATCAGTAGTATTTAGGCATGCACATCAGTTCCGGCTGCTTTTACTTTCTCCCTTCTTCTTCAGTCTGTCCGTTGTGGTGCGAACAATCATAAACTCATTATATTTTATATTACATCTGTTGTGGTGTATTATAATTATAAATTCATAATTATAATGAACTTTTTTCTCCTAATTTGTGTTACAACTGTCTTGCGTTTCTTCATACTCACTTTTTTGGTTTATCATTAAGGTGCTTTGCAAAGATCACACAGGTGCATCACATACTGTGTTCCCGTTTTAATTCTTGATTATTGGTAAGTCTTATGCCATAATTCAGTATCAAACTTAAAATGTATCAGATCTATTGTATGAACATTTTCAGCATTGGACATGATACTTGAACTGAAGAAATGTTCATAATCCAAAGTCATGATTTCCTTAGAACTGTAGAGTAGAAAAGCGCATTCCTCTCATAGGGCCTGTTCTTACGCTCAATTTTCGAACCATGTATTTGTTGATCGTTGTGTACATATAGACTCTTTATATGTGGATGTGTTACAAAGGTTAATATCAATTATTACTCCCATCTATAGACTTAGAATACGGAATAGCATACATATTCTTATGTTGTATTCACTTAGCTCTATCTCTGTTTTCCATGGGTAAAGTTCAAATTCAACTCTCTTTTATCCATTGTCTTACTGGAGCAATTAATCTCCGATTTGTCCAGTGTATTGACACGGAATTAGTACAGTGTGATTGCAAGCCAGAGGGTGTTTTTCGTGATCTTGATGTCAAGTCTTACAGAAACAAACGTGAAGTACAGTTATGGGGTTTATATCTGCGATGAAGTTAGGCGTGAACACTGCCGAGTCAATAGCTTTTAAGATAAGCGATCTACGCCTCTTGTGGACTGAATATGACGTACGAAGAATCCGTATGGTTTGTCAGTTAGGTGATTTACACAGTCGTATGGCACGAACTGCTAACAAACCTCAAATGTTGTGAATGATTGGAGTCTCCAGCAATTCTGATTTGGACAACCACCCACCAGCTGTATGATGTCAGCTCTGTTCATGATGCCAATAGTGACCTCTGGTCGCTTGTAGCGAGTGGCTAAACTGAACAGATTGTGACTTAGGTCGCAGTGTAGATGTCAGTAGTGCGTTCTGCCAACAATAGCATAATTGACTGGACTACCAACGGTATAATGTAGACCTCATCTGAAATGCTAGCGAAGATCTTCAATACAAACCTGTAGTCGAGTGATGGGACTCCAGCCTAAACTAGTGTGCATTAGACTTTATCACATGTGTCAGGCCGAACTTGGTCAAACCTCTTTGTAGCGAATGGCCGGACGCTACAATCGTGTGATGTAAACATACCTGCACGATGCTAGCAGTCCTCAATGTTTTACTCGGATATTATTGACATACGCCGCTGGTGAGGTCCGCAACTTTTGCTTTGATTTGGACAGTAGTAGAGGAGGCGAACTAGCGATGTTGTGGCTAGACTCTTCCAATGTTGATGTACAGTATACATCACTGACAGACCGATCTGGGCCGATCTGGAGGAGGCTAACGCTGAACTATGCGTGGAAAGTATGACGGATGTGGCAAAGCCAAGAATGTCGTCATTAGTTCACGCAGCAGCCGACGATGTGTGGGTGGATGGGCACTCGTGTACTCCACAACTTAGCGATCTAGATCGACCGTCGTGGTGAAGAACGTGCGAGTGCTTCGAGAGCGATAGCGTCGCGGCGAGTAAATCATGTTTGGGTTGGTGTTATAACTTCTGTGGCCCTATTACCTAAATATTATATCTCCCAACCAAAGCAACTATATCCTAAACAAATTAATATTTTCATTTATTATGACACAACTTCACGATGATTGACAATTAAAGGATATCTTCAAATTAGAAGGTGGCCAAGTGAACAACAAGAACGCTGGGAATATCTATCATAGCCGTACACGAAAGAATCGTATGAAACCAGAGTAAGCTCCATATTATCATGATGTCCATTGAGCGTTTACAAAATCTCAAGTGGCTAGATAACATATTTTAGGCATCAAGTACAGGAACTTGGTCTAGGTTTATAATTATTATCTCATATGATTCTGCATACTAACGTCCACGAGTTTTAACGTGATATTCCAAAGATTAGATTCCTGGAACGTATTATACCTATCGCGGAAAACAGGTAACTGACTATTTGCTATTGAAAAGAATAAACCATCATATTGTTCTATTTTTAGCAATTTAACCTCTTGAAAATTCATAATTAAAAGTAAACAAACCACGACTAAACATGGACTATATATTTTTTAATCTGAAATGATTTAAGGAGTATTTAATCAATTCAGTTTTTAGTTGGTTGCATTGTTTTTACAATCGAATGATCAATTATTTATTCATATTAGTAGGCATGATTTTGCTCTTTGGTGATTTTTGAAGGGAAACTTTTATAAAAGAATCAATTTTCATTGTGTTGTATCTCGAAAAAAATGAAAAAGCTATTTCTAAACTTTGTGATAGATGCTCTGATGAGTAACTTGTTCTTAAGATTCTCTTTTTATGAATCTATTGACAATTCGTATGTATCCCATAGTGGTCAATTGTATAGCACGAGATCTGTAGATTTAATAGTAAGTATATCCAGTTCATTTTCATATACTCGCTTTTCCTTGACACACGTGAATTTAGAGTCTTTCCATTTTGATTTACATGTTTACCTGCCTCTAGCAGGTTCAGAAATGCTTCGTAGATCGTGATAGCGGAGGATTATCCCGTCAAATGTTCTAATTCATAGCACAAACTTCTTTTATTACAGTTCAAATCTTAAATCAATGGGACAAAGCTCTTTAATTAGTGTGAGTCTTCAAAACCAATCGGGGAGTCTAAAGTCCCTCCATGGGACAAAGAAAGTCAGCCAGCAATGGGAGTCGGGAAAAATGGGAAACTCGGTCGGTAAAATGGGGATCTCGCAGATTCCTGTCTGCACGTGTTCGTGCACAGACCTCCAGATTTCTCGCAGCCTCTGCGAGCTTTATCCATCGCGGTAAAGCGGTAACCGGTGCGGACTCCGGAGAGTCCGAGGACGACTGGGGACCGTAGGACAAAGAGCCTGAGCTCCCACCCGTACGATAGGCCAGAACGCAAGCCCTGCCCTCGCCGCGTCCATCCGTCCGTCCGTCGTTCCGCGCCTCCGTCCGCTCCGCCGGAACAGACGGGCGTAAGCGAGAAGCGGAGGTCTGGCAGAGAGCACGAAGGAAGGAAGGGATGCCCCGAGGCGATTACTTGGCGCTGTCTCGATACGGCTCAAGAAATGGGTGCAAGCGGTCCGTCGATTTCGGGCACTTTTCGGCGGATCTTTTAGCTCTCGGTGTTGGTGGACTTGAGTGTGCACTATGCCGGGGATGGACGAGCCAGAGCTCCGAGGAAATATGCGAATTTGAGCGCGGGGGGTTCCGGGCGCTGAGGTGACGGGGAGAGCGAGCTTGTGGAGCTTCTATGTCGTTCGAGGACGAGCGAGGCACGACGAGGAGTCGATGTCCAGTAGGGTTAGGGTTTGGGACAGGGCAGGAGAGGTGATGGTCGATGGACTAGCGAGCTGGAATATTGGCATGGGATGTGATGGCCTTGAGGATCGGACAAAATAGGACGATCAAGTGAATGTACGAAATTATCAGTTTCTTGCTCTCGAATTTGTCGACTACTCTGGTGGTCTGATGTATTGCGCCGGTGAACGAACTGTCCTCGCATGATGACTACAACTACCGAGGATTCAAAGGTCGGTGGATTTTTTGTTTGTTAATGTGGCCCATTAGCTATATGGCCGAGATTGAAGGCACAGTAGATGTCCAGTCCATAGGACGGGTGCACCAGCTCGCGCATCAGTTGAGAAGGAATCTGAAAAGAAAAAATGTTTGCGAACACCATCGTTTTCTGGCGGTTCTTGTCACCTCATGCCTGATAGCCTGTTCAGTGAGTCTGTGTATCCGCTCGAATTTCTAGAGATCTTGCGAGATTCGCAGGTCCTTAAAGTTGAATGGAGTGTTCGAAGGCCGGAGCTAGAATTGAACGTAATTTGGACATCCAGAGGCACACACTGTTAGAAAAAATTTCTTCCTTCGGTGCAACAATCACTTTCTCAGTTGTTGGTGAGTTCTGAAAGAGTCACGTCTCGCTGAAATACGGTTTGCCGGTTTGTCTGATTATTTTCAGCAAGGGGTTTTAACACAGTCCCAACCCGCCCCAGCTTCGCCATCTCAGCAAACGCGTACCACTACTTCACCTGGAGCTAATCCTACTCCTGCAGCTAACAATGAAGGGAGGAAAATATCCTGCGAGGATATTCAACTGGTTAGGAAATGACTCTCCTATGACTTGTATTCAGCATTGAAGCAGTGTATACATGCGAGACTTATGGATTAATCGGTCGGTTAACTCGCACTTTATACTTAACACAGTAATTCTGATGGCAATCCAAATCCAGGTGCAAAATCTCATCGAACGATGTCTCCAGCTTTACATGAACCAAACCGAAGTGATCACTACGCTGAAATATCAAGCTAAAATTGAACCAGGTTTCACAAGCCTCGGTACGGGGCTCGATGATTTCTCCTTTGTCTGTGGCTTTTTTCGTACATCTTTCAACAGTCTTGATCGTCAGGATAATGTCACAAGTTTTATGGCGTATGTGGCATTTATGTATACGTGGCATTTGTGTTTGTGATCAATGTTTGTGATTTGGAATGGCAAGATGTTTCTTCCTTCTAAGGACTATTTATTTTGGAGCAACGTCGCCAAACATGGCAGTAACTCTTCATCCTTTTCTTCCATTTTGGCATTTTCTGGTGCAGTGTGGCAAAAGCTAGAGGAACAGAATCCTGACTTCTTTAAGGCTTACTACACTCGACTGAAGGTTAAAAAACAGATCGTACTTTTCAATCACTTGTTGGAACAACAAGTCCAACTCCAGCAGAAGATGCGCAGTTTCCCTACCGCCAACCTCGTGCAACCAATGCAGAATGGCATGCATTCTCCTCTAAGTGTGACTCTAAATGTGTTGTGTGATTTCATTTTCGTTTAGATTAAAAATTGGTTAAGACATAGCACATGTTTCGGGTTTTCTTATCTACTGAGAACACTTTGTGGATGTGCTCTGAGCATCAATCTTCATTCCCGTTCCTCTGATACTTGATGTTTGTCATGATTGTGGATAATTTTTAGTAGAGATTGATGACATATATGTAGCATAGGGTGGACCCTTATTTTTTAGCCTCGAACACTGCGCCTAATTTTCACCTTCTCGTGCAGTGCACCACATGCCAATGGGTTACACCATGCCACCGGGACCACCAAATGCTGCTATGCCACACATGGGTGTAATGCTTATGCCTGTTCCTGGCTCTAATATGATGAACGGAGCTGCCAGTCCCATGCAGGAAAGCTACCCCTCCCATGAGAGTCCTGGCAGGTATGTTTTAGGAAGATAGGGTCCGTTTCTATGTTAGCTTTCAAAGCTGCTCAGCTTCTCATATGACCGTGTAAGTTGTGAAGTTGCTCGTATTATCAAGTCTACATGTATTGGCATGACCCTTCGTTGACTATTTTTCTGTGCTTCTGTCTCTTTTGCTAGGTGGGTGATTGAAGAGAAGAGGTAGTGCTTTGTGTCACTTGTTAATTGTTCTGACTCAGGCATCAGATAATTGTACACGAAAAGTAGCTTCGTTCCTGAAAGCAAAGCTGGGTTTGAACTTTGAAAGTGTTGGGTTGTTGCACCAAGTGGTCGTACTTCTTTCCACCTGTGTACAACTCCTCATGCGGACTTCAGATCCTAAAGCTTTGTTTCGAGTCCTCAGTCGATTTTTTCAGGTTTCGGTTTTATGTAATGTCTAGTAGGAGTCTCTTTCAACTTTTGAGGTTGATTTCCTGTCAAACATGGATAAATTCTCATTTGTGATCTGTTGTCGTCCTTTCCAGTACTCCAATGTTTCCCTTCAGCAACATGGGGAACCCCACTGACATCACAGGAATGGGGATGGGACTTACTACAACGATGGGGCTTGAAACGCCGTTTGTTTCCAATGATCCTGTCCCTAATGGCATTGGACCTTTGTCCACCACTGAAGCTGATTCGTCCAGTACTAGAGAATCTTTGGAATCTCTGGGTCAGCTTCCACGAAATTTCAGCTTATCAGATTTGACAGCAGAACTTACCAACAGCGCAGGTGAGAGTTCATATATATATGGCACCTAAAGATTCTTGGAAACCACTCCTGCAGCTGCAGTCGTTTTTATCCTTCCACCACGGTATTATTCTAATCTGGACACCGAACGCTGTGCAGATTTGGGAGCTCTTGGAAGTTATACGGGTTCACCATTTCTTACTCCTGACACAGAAGTTTTTCTTCAATCGCCCGATAAGGATTTCTCCGGTACTACGATTATCTATCTCGATTGCTTCTGGAATATACATGGATTTCCTGGTAGTGCTGAATGCTTGTGTATACTGTTGAATCTGCATGTTCATGATCTTTAGTGGAGATCTTATATTTAGCAAAATAGAGATTTTGGTTACTAAGCATACTCTGGGCATCACTCAAGATTTATTGGCTTTTTCCAGTGCATACATAAGTCATCTCGAGAGCTACAGGTTTTGACAAATCTTCCACATGCCAGCATTGCTTTTTGCTGTTGACTTTTCTGACCTGCAGATACGCCAGTGCTTACCGAATTAATAATCCATTTTTCTGACGATTGTGTAGGTTGGGGCGAAGACGATAAGATGTTAGACTCTATGGGTGAGACTCTAAACATGGATTTTGGTGATTTGAATGTGTAGGTTTGGGCGATGACGATAAGATGTTAGATTCTATGGGTGAGACTCTGAGCATGGATTTTGGTGATCTGAAATGACCTCAGAAAGTGAGGAAGTTATAGCTTTTCAATGTCGAAATCGTCATTGAAGTATTAGGTCACTTCTGGAGTCTGGAGTCCCCCGCCTTTCCCTGTACATAATCTGGGGAATGTACACAGATGGATGTATTTTATACAATATTTGTTGATACGAATAAAGAAAAGTGGAATTATAATTTCTATCGCATTGATTATTCGGCCTTGCATGCCCCCGTGTTGTGTTTGATTTTTCAATCCAAAGTGGTCCATTCATACTGAAGCGGCAACAAAAGGCAAGCATCTCATGTAGAGATGATAGTCGAAAATACCATCAAGTTCTCCATGTACCTCATGTTGTTATGAAAATCCAGTATTTTGATATTGATCAGTAACAGGGATGATGTATCATTCATATCGAAATTTCCAAATCACCACAATATATATATATATATATATATATATATATATATTCTTCTTCTTTTCTGTTGAGACAAATGGTGAGATTTCCATTGCAAGAGTAAAAATACATAAGGAGGAAACTCGCAGACGATACTTATTTTTTGATTTTTTCTACCTGATAACAATACCTACCATAAAACCAATTACACAAACACCCTACATTCGGGGCGGGTGTAGTTACATCGAATAGAGTCCCCACGGAGAGTGCAGAAAATGTCGTTGGGACCCTAGTAAGTGAAGATCAGTTCGGAGTTTTGCCCGGGTTAAGCCTGCTTGCGGCCAAGCAAGATGGAACGCTACCACGGAGAGTACAGAAAATGTCGTTGGGAGCCTAGTAAGTGAAAATCAGTTCGGAGTTTTGCCCGGGTTACGCCTGCTTGCGGCCAAGCAAGATGGAACGCTACCACGGAGGGTACAGAAAATGTCGTTGGGAGCCTAGTAAGTGAAGATCAGTTCGGAGTTTTGCCCGGGTTACGCCTGCTTGCGGCCAAGCAAGATGGAACGCTACCACGGAGAGTACAGAAAATGTCGTTGGGAGCCTAGTAAGTGAAGATCAATTCGGAGTTTTGCCCGGGTTACGCTTGCTTACGGCCAAGCAAGATGGAACGCTACCACGGAGAGTACAGAAAATGTCGTTGGGAGCCTAGTAAGTGAAGATCAATTCGGAGTTTTGCCCGGGTTACGCCTGCTTACGGCCAAGCAAGATGGAACGCTACCAGGCCAGGTTTGCAAGATCCAGCGTTGCGTCCCATATGGCGCCTTCCAGCTGCTGTGTTGCGTCCCAGATGACATCTTCCAGATGCTGTGTTAGCCAGATGCAGTGTTGCGTCCCAGATGACATCTTCCAGTAGGGCCACACAGTAGGGACCAAGTTCGTTGGAGCTCAAGCAGATGAGCCGGCAAATCTATGCCAAGGAGGCACTGTTCCATTGTAAGCCGCTCCCACGGCATAGAGGTGCGAGAACTCCCTGCAAGCAACTGGACGATCGTACTAGCGAAGTCCCATGCAGATTGGGCTGCCTCACATTCGAAGAAGGCATGGTGGATGGTCTCTGACACATCCTGGGAGCAGCACGGGCAGGGATCACAAAGACCTAGAGTGCAGACGCTACGCCAGTGGTTCATCGCGATGGCCTTGAGGTATATACTCCACAAGAATGTTGCCTCCTTGCGAGGACGGTACGAGGCCGGTACCAGGCCCCTCCATTTAAGGCTGATGGGATGGGACAATCTCGGCCTAGAACAAAACCAATGACATCCTTGCTGCGCCGTGTAGGCATACGTAGCTTCCTGGGCGTTCATTTCCAGCGCTCCAGGTCGAAGGTAAGATATGCGACGGGCGCCAAGAATTTGAAGATACATGGTGAGGATTTACGGAATGTTGACTGCCGAGTCTGCACAATGCGGACGTGCCAAACGATGCCAGAGAAGAGGATGTGAGGTCTACTCACCGGGGCGTGACATATAAGAGACTTATACTATGGTTCGACCTTGAAGGTGGCATGTGCGGGAGGAATCAGGGTGTCATGAGCAGTGTCCATGAGCGGGGGGCTAACGTCTTGGGCAGCTTGAAACACAATCAGAAGCGCGCCTTCCGAGATTGAGAAGATCTCCAGCCATTCACCCAAGTGAGAAACAGTTTGGGTTTGACGAGCAAGTGTAAACCAGACAGCCGGCACCTTCGACTAGATCAAGTCGATATGGCGTCGCTCTGCATACTTCAGGGCAAATCGCTGCTAGAGGTCTGGCCAAGGCCAAAGAGCCATGGAGTTGTCAAGCCACAGATCCATGAGACAAAGAAGCCCTAGACATGCTAATTGCCGGACAAGCGCCAGATTGAAGCCGAAGTTGCTTCCCAAAAAATGGTAAATTCACCATAAGCTAGTATCTGCACTTCCTCAAAAGACATGGGAGGCAAAGCTTCAACTAGTGGACTCAAGCATCTCCACGCCATGATAAGGCGAGTCCATAGTGGGGATTCTTGGAGCGCCACGAACTTTGCCAGACGTGTCCATTAGAGTGAGCAGGGCCACAACCCAGACCCCGGCGGCCACAGACCTGCAAACCAATGTCTGAGCAGGGTATGAAGCGGAAAGATGTCGAGATTTAGGTACTTAATGATCCGTTTGCCCATCAAAGCAATGAGAGCATCTTCAAGATCCACGATGGCAAGATTACCCACTTTCTTTGATGCGCAACAATCATTCCATCTCACCCTGGCTTGCGAGTGCAACCCAATGCTAGCCCATAAATAGTTCCTCAAAGAGACTCGTATCGTACAAAGAATTGTAGCGAATCCACCCCATATGCTCAAGAAATACCATAAGGTAGACAATAGCACAAAATTCACCACTGCTTTTGCGACCATCGATAGAGGAACCGAGAACTAGTACTTAGGTTTTTTATTGATCTTGGCAGCCAAGAACTGGTCGACATCTGTAGTCGCAAGTGATATTCCAAAAGGAGTGCCTAGCAGCTTGCTGAGGGAGCTGGGAGGTGCTATCGTGCACCGGAATGAGGACAGCCAAGTAGGAGATGAGTGGGCACCGTAGCAGTAAATCCCACAATTGTGCCGATTGAGGGTGAGTCCCGTCGCTATTCCAAAGGCGGTGAGAAAGCTTGAAGCAACTAACAGATTCTGCTCTAAGCCAAGGAGCGAGAAAGTGGCATCATATGCAAATTGGAGAGAATTTACTGCGTGACGTCGTTCGGGAGGCGTATGCCATAAATAATACCTTCCTTCATTGCATGGCGAGTCGCTGTAGAGAGGGCTTCAGCCACAAGCAAAAAAAGATACGATGCTAGGGGACAACCCTGACGCACTCCTTGACAATAGGGAACATAGTTGTATGAGTGCCGTTAAGGGACACTACTGCAGATGCATTCGCCAGCAACATGCGCACCATGGAAACGTATAGGGCGGGCATGTCCATCTGCTCCATGACTCAAAACAAAAAACTCCACCTAACAGAGTCATAAGCTTTACAAAAGTCAAGCTTAAGCATAATAATCGGTTGTCCGGTAGCCTTTGCCCATGAAATGGTTTTGTGTTGAACCATTATGACGTCAAGAATGTGACTGACCCAGAGTTCATGTCAATCAGAGTGTCTTCAGCCAGTTGTGCCTCAAGGTCGGTGCCTTCGACAATGTAGAGATCGAGGTAATAGTTGGTCACAATATCTTCGAGGCCTTGACGATATGTAACTCGAGTTCTAGTCGGAATGTGAAGAGCGGAAATCTTAGACGTGGTGCTGGACGCTCGAACCGTCGTGAAAAATTCTTTGAAGACCGCGTCTCCTCGGAGCTTCCATGCAGTCTTGGATCGGACCCGACGTTTTGTGATGTCCGATCTTGGTATTCTTGCAGGCGCTGTGGACCATTGCCTCGGGCTCGGAATAATGAATCATCATGCGGTGCATTTTGGGCAGAACGAGTGGGAGATTCCATATCAGCAATAAGGACGTCTTCGTCTGCTCTAAAGGCTTAAGCCTTTGTTTTGCATAAGCCGCAGTAATATCTTGTCACGTGCCGTAGTTTGGAGAAGAAAGGAGTTCCTGGCGGAGTGTTCTTCCATAGGCGTGCGATTTGCTCTACTTTGTCGTCGAACCATTGATTCCTCATTTTCCAATGAGTAGCACGGTGCGGCTGCACTGCAAACTGGATGGTAGAGACAACTAGGTGGTGAGCTGATCGAACCATATCGCCGCGGATGGAATGTTTGAGGAGGACCGGATCAGCAGCGCCGGGGAAGGCTTCAGATAGGTACAACCTGTCAAGTCGTGCGAGTGAACGGCATGCCTAAGGACGTTGATTATCCCATGAAAATGGGAGACTATGAGCCGGCACGGGGAGCTTCATGCTGTTGAAGATGATCTACTCACGCATAGGGACAAGGATTGCGCATTGACATGTTTTATCAGCACGTCTGTCCACCATATTAAAATCTCCTAGAAGTATCTAGCGGCATGTCTGAGTTAGATCTTGAGCTAATGCCTCCCAAAGCAAGCAGCGTGAAAGCGAATCATTCGGTGCGTAGATGTTTGCAAAACCCACATCATCCACGGGCAAGCCTTGGAAAATAAGTCACTACACTCGATTAGCAAAGAGCAAACATGTAGCACCTACTTTGCGACTCAAGCGCGAGTGGAGTGTGGTGACTTTTGACTTTCGTAGCCTATACTCTTAAACTTTATTTGTCCTTTTCGTTTTTCCATCAATTTGAAATTAATAGATCGTTGAAATTGCTAGTTTTGTTTTGAAAAACCTAAATAAAGTTTTCTAAAATAAACTAATGATGTGATTAACTCTATTCATGATTAAAACTTTGCTTAAGCCATGATTTAAAAAAACAACCTTTAGATGTAATTGACTTTATTAATGATTAAAACTTTGATTAAACCATGATTCACAACAACTAATTTTAGATAAAATTGAGCTAATTGTGTAACAATCATTATTTTTGTGGTTAACATGATGTGAATCATCTTATTCAATTTGTCCACAAAAACTATCATTCAATCATTTCCTAACCAAGTTTGTGATAACTCACATACAAGATCCATGATGATATGTTTACATTGCTGTTTGAAAATAGAAAAAAACGATAATAAACCAACTAGTTTTTGAAAACTTGATTTGTTTTGTTGACAAGCAACACAACTTTGAACGTAAGCCTCCACATTCTCTTGTATTTTGGCTAATTGTACATTTTTTGTATGCTCTTTATGATTTTTTGCACT